TTGAAATAGTCTCAGGTGGAAGGGGCGGGGCCAGGATACTTCCCTGTAGCCCCACCCACAGACCATGATTGGTCTGTCAGTGAGGGAGCACGTGAAGTTTTTGCCCCCTTCCAAAGGTTCCCCCTAAGCACCCATGCCCCTGGCAGTGGGAGGTGACTTCACCAGCTTCCCCTTATGCTCCAGGCCAATCAGGGATGTGGGGGCAATGGAACGTGGGAAGTCTCCTTGGCTATGTCTACACTCGCGGCTTCTTGCATGAGAAATATGCAAATGAGGTCAAGCGTGGAATATCGCTGAGTCTCATTGGCTAAGTGTGGAATATCGCCGAGTCTTATTTGCATACCTAATGAGCTGCCATTTTTGCAGAAGAGCCTCTTGCGCCAGAAGGAGCTGCCTACACTGCCCCTTCTTGCTCAAGAAAAACCCTTTTGCACAATGCCGCTATGCCGATTATTTTAAGGAATAACAGCATTGTGCAAGAGGGCTTTTCTTGTGCAAGAAGGGGCAGTGTAGACAGCTCCTTCTGGTGCAAGAGCCTCTTCTGCAAAAATGGCGACTCATTAGGTATGCAAATGAGGCTCAGCAATATTCCATGGTTAGCCTCATTTGCACATTTCTCGCGCAAAAAGCCGCGAGTGTAGACATAGTCCTCCTGACCTGCCAGGAGTGCTTGGCACTTTGAAAGCACCGCACATTCCTTGCAGGGAGGTGGCACGGTGGAAGAAATTTTGTGTGCTTCCCCACTCCCACCCCCGTCCCCAGGCCGTGATTGGCAGTGCGGGAGAGCGGCAGGGCCTCTGCAGGCTGGATCAACCCGTTTGGCAGGCTGGATCTAGCCTGCAAAGATACTTTTGCCCATTTCTGTCCTAGCCTAACAGCTCCCCACCACTGCCCCAAGTACATAAATAATCATGGTACTTACAGGGTGTTTACCACAAACTAATGTGTTTTCTGCTTTTCTCCTACCAGGTGTTTATCATTAGATTATGAGCTCTTTAGGGCATAGTCTATGTTTGTGTTTACACAGTGCCTAGCACAATGGGGCTCTGTTCTTGATTGGTTCCAAGTTACTACTGTAATCAACATGATTAACAGATGATCTGGAACAAGTGACAGATCTGATTTTAAACTGATGTGAATGGTAGATTTCCAGGTGTGGCAAATATAAAACCAGACCCTGTTATCAGTTTTTTGTTTCTATTCATGTTTTGTGCTTTGGTACCAGGCCTTGGCATTTCATATGTAAAAGAACAGAATGGTCTCAGGAGGCACTGTCCTTATTTGTACCAAATAACCATACACCACAAAATAGTGAGGTCAACAACCTGTGCCTATCTGTTAGCACTTCATTTCGCCCTGTAGACATAACAGAGGTAATGTGCTTTGCTTTTGCTATGAACCAGGACACTAAATGAAAGATAACAGCCTGGGACTAAGAGATCCATGAAGAACAATTAACATTGTACGCTCTGCCAAAGGTCTTGAGAGAGCATCTTCCTGCACCTGCTCCCTACTCATTTTACACAAAAATATGCACAGAGCCAACAGTTCTTATTTTCCATTGAAAGCTGATGGTGACGCTTCTTTGTTTGTGATCTTTAAAGATATTAATATCCTGCTCTTGTGCCAACCTTTGCAAAAGAAATCTATCTCTTCACAAACTCATCCTCCATTCCTAGAGCTGTGTAAAACTCTGGGGGGAAGGGAGAGGGCGTTCTACAAACTGGATTTAGCTTCTGTTTATTTGTGTGAGTTTGCATAATGTGAAAAAAATTCTATGCTGTACTGCTTTACACCTATGCAGATCCACTGCATTCATCTGTGAGATGTCAGGTTAAATTGCCCTCATCATTTCTCACAATTCTAAGCATAATACCAAGCACTGTACAGACAGTCATTAATCAGTCCTCCCATTGCTTCTGTACATTAGGCAGGTATCCACCCTATTATATCATTGGGAAAATGGAGGCACGTACATGGGTTCCTAAAGCCAGACTCCATATTAAGGTTTCTAAGATACTGACTCCTTCCTGATCCCCGCCTTCATTTTTGTCTAGGAGACCAACAACCCCGTTTCAACCCCACATCTCCGGCAATATTCTCCTGTGTCTACCTCTGGAGTTTAAAATGAGCTTTCTTTTTTAAGGACCCGTCAACTGTAGGCAAATGAGCCTCATGGTTTGAGGAGCCACAGAAACTCTGAGCTTCCTTTTGTCCAGCACTGTGGAGGATATTCCTTATTAGGCACAGGAAAGTCTCTGTAATGTCTGCGTAATGCCAGGTTAGATATTCTGCTCCTACCACCTTCACCTTGAAGGAAATTCTGGAGAAAATTCAGCTAGTCAGACATAAAACAATACAATAGTCTTATAGATGCTGCTGTAGGCAGGTGAAGCATTCCATCTAACTATAGTGATTAATCTTCCATCCTCATGTTTAGGGAAGAATGTGCCAAAAATAGCACTACCAATTCTGTTGGATACATGTATAGCCGCAACGGATAGTAAGAAACTGGGAAGGTATATCTAAAGGCAAGCATTGGCTCCATGTTGTGGAAAAGAGCTGTTAAACTTGTGGTGGACCATCCATTAAGCTAGCCAGCCCTTTAAAAAACTACAGCATTCCAAGAAAAGCATTGAACGTTCTGTTAAGCTGAGAGCAGAATTTACCCCTACATCTTGAAAGAAAAAGGGTACTTTAAATCTGCAACTGGGAGGAGGTGGCAATTCCAGTCTTAGTTATACATGTATCTATGAGGTACTTTCATAGTCTTTATTACCACAGTATGTGAGCACTTGTGAGGTACTGAAGTACTATTATCCCCATATAAAGGGGGAAATGTGGTAGAAAGAGGCCAAATGACTTATTCAAGGTCTCACAGAAAATATGTGGCAGAGCAAGGACTTCTATGCAGGCCTCCCAAGACCTTGGCTAGGCCATCACACCAACCATTAGATCATCCTTCTCTTTAAACTCTACCCATGAAATCATGTGTCACTAAAGACAGAAGTAAGATTAGATGGACCACAAAACACAATACAAGTGTAGACATATGATTTAGTTATAGTGCATATATTTCTGTGGCTTGTGGTACCCAGAACCAGTCTGTGAAAACATCACTAAGCTATCTCTTGGGAGTCATGGCAGCGTGTCGCTATATTTTTAAACAGTTAGGCTGACATTTGTGGGTAAGAGCCATTTAAAAATAGGTCTTGAAAACTTTTCCATTAAAATAATGCCCTGTTTCACTTAAAGGGCAGCTTGGATAAGGGACAGGTGGCTCTTTTACTCAGTAGGGCTCTCATAGTCCATCTGAAACTGTAGCCACAGGTGGCTGAGATTTGAAAGCTATTGTCTAGTAAGGCTTTGCCACAATAACTGGAATTTAATAGGTAAAGATGTACAAAATACAATACAATGTGGGCTGATGGGGCGACCATCTCATCAGACTGAGGCAGGACCAGAAACCAAGCTTTAATGGAATGATTAATGGAGAAGGAGCTGCTTCTCAGGAGTGAGGGGGAACATTTCTCCTTCTAGGATGCTGCGTGGCCTGAGAGAGATGCTTTTAAAACTAATTCTGCAAATGTAGAAACAAACAAGTGGACACTTGATTTTAACGTTAAACTGTTATAGGGGCTGCAATTGTCCTCATGCTGTGTATTTTTCATAGAAGACTTATGTATGGGAGAGTTTTTATCATCTGTCCTCTGAGCCAAAGAGTTGATGGGCAGATATTTTGACCCTGACATTCATATATGAGCGCAGATAGAGAGGAGAATGAATGCAATTGATGCCAGTATGTTTTTTTATTTGGTCTAGCACTACAGATAAGGCAAGATAAGCATCACCATTTCTTTTTATTGCACATAATATTTCTTACATTCATTAGAAATAAATCAGTTTCATGCAAAACAGTAGTGTACACTAACAATTAGGTACACATTTCCCTATACCGAAGGCCTGGCAGTGTCTCAGCTCTCTGGGAGGGGAGCAATCCTACATACTACCAAACTCTGCAAAGGGGAAGAAGAGATTCTCTTTCCTAGACAATATAGAAAGGGGGAAACGTAACTCTCTCACCCACAGGAGAAAGGGAAATTCTGTGGCAAGAGCAAAGGGAAAAACAGGAGCAGAAGTGGAGAAGCCCAGCAGAGTTTGGTAGAGCCCAAAGTCACTTGTAAAAGGGTGCTGTGATGGAGACAACACAACTGAGGCACACACACAGAGTTACTACAGATCAGTACAGGACAACAGAAATCACATGCAACATAAAGTGAACAGAGCAAATACAATCCCCATTTTGTCACATAATATTCACATGGGCTGTCAATTGATGTACGTTAATGCCAGTGATTAACACAGGGAAGTATTACTGTGTTCATTTCTTAAATGCATTAATCACAGGCATTAATGCTGCACTGTCCCAGTCCGACGCTTCAAAGGGGCAGTGCATTAGGAGTCTGGGATCAGCTGGAGTGCCCAGCTCCTAATGCTCTGCCCCTTGGAAATGCTGGGGCAGCCTTTCCAAAGGGCAGCAAGGCACGGAGCCAGGGTCAGTAGGGAACTCCAGCTAACCCCGGGCTCCCATGGTGCTGCCCCTTGGAGCAGCCTTTCCAAGGGGTAGCACTGCATCGATCTGGGGTCAGTTGGGGACTCCAACTGATCCTGGGTTCCCCTGGTGCTGCCCCTTGAAAATGCCGGGGCAGCCTTTCCCAGGGGCAGCTGCACTGAGCCTGGGATCAGCTGAGGACTCCAGCTGATACCGGGCTTCCACAGCTCTGCTTCTTGGAAATGCTGGGTCGGCTTTTCCAAGGGTCAGCGGTGCACCGAGCCAGGATCAGCTGGGGACTCGAGTTGATCCCGGCTCCCGCAGTGCTGCAACTGCATTTCAAAGGGGCAGGTGCACTGAGCCTGGGATCAGCTGAGGACTTTGGCTGATCCCGGGCTTCCACAGTGCTGCCCCTTTGAAACGCCGCCAAAGTGTTTCAAAGGGGCAGTTCATGTGATTAATCAGGATTACATTTTTTAATTGCTTGACAGCCCTAATTAAAACACATGGCATTTAGTATCCATCACTTGCAAATATGAATGATTGTTCTTCATGCTGAGAGCAGCTGTTTCCATGGTTTGGCCCGTATGGATATGTATTCACAGTCTCCACTTGTTTTGACTTTGTGGGAACTGCATCATGCTGGTAAAGCAAAGCTGGTTTGACCACACCACAGTCTTCTTGAATCTTTATGCCTGGATAAACAGTTCCTGAGAGATGGTCTGCTGTATGGGTACAGATTGGAGGATTTTTTACATCACATATGTTGTCACTGTACTTCACCACTGAGGGCTTGTAAGCCTGGTAGGATACTTTAGTAGTTGTTGTGATAACTGTTTGTAAAGCTGGGGCTACTGGAGAGGGATTGCTACCATATCTGCAAGTATAATCCCCATTGCAGTAAGAGGGATTGGTGTTTGCTTGAATCTGTCCATAGTCATTCCTGTCTCCGTAACCACTTTTCCCCCAAAACTGTTTCAGCCCATGATATCCACTATCAAAGTTTTTATCATGGGCATTCAATGAATTACCATTACACTGAAGCCCAGTCAAATTAAGGGAGTTTGTATCCACTGGGGTGTTTGCAAAATCTTTGTAAAATGTTGGATATGAGCTAGAATTTATGTAACTAGGAGCTCCAAATTCATAGCCCCCTGACCTAGGCAGAAAGTGTCTTGGATTGGAACACTTTTGGAATGATGATGCCGCAACCCCTTGGATGCTGGCCAAGTCACAAGAAGCTTTGCAAGAATCTGTATTTTGAAATGCAGGATAAGGCTGTGCTGGAATTGGGAAGCTGGTGTCTGTAATGATACTGAATTTTTCTGGGCCTTCCATGAATGACAAATGAGGAATGTTGTTGAAATGACCATTGCTGTCATGGTACCTTCTTGTCTGAAAAGAACATGAAAACAGGTCTTTGAATTCTGGAAATAAATACTGTACACATGCCCACACAGCTTTATATGGTTACTTGCATTACTGGTCATTGCAGCTTTGACAACTTCTTCACTGCTTTAATAACCCGTCCCTCTCTCCCCCTCACCCCTCTGCTCATAAGAAAAGCAACCCACTACAGTGTCTTATAAACATTTGTTATGCCCTCTGACTCATGGTACACAGTTGCACCACCTTTGTAATGGAAATGCAGATCTAGAGTTACCTCTGAGTTCATAAGCCTCTTTTTCTGGGAAAGGTGAGAAGAGGACACTTGCTTCTTGATGGCACTTCTTCTCGCCTCTGTCTCTGATTTACTCTCTGGTCTAGGGTGGTCATGGACTCCTTTTGCCTGCAGTAGTGTTGACACATTAATGATTTGCTTATCTAAAGACTTTAATAATAAGTATGCAACTAAAGTTTATGGTGATTATTTATTATTTTATAGCACCCACACGAATGCTTGGTGCTTCAAGAAAAGACAGAAAAAAGTTGCTTGCTCAAACAGATTACAGTCTAAACAATGGACTTATTAGAAAAGTGTCACATACGCTAGAAAGAGGCATAGACATGGAACTAGGTATCCTAGGGGTGCTCCCAGATTCCCCTGGCTTAAAATGGATTTCAATATATATAGGGTTTACAATTTGGTGCAATGGCACTCAGCACCCCCACTATACAAATTGTTCCAGATCTGCTAGGAAGGGGAGACTGAAAGAGTGACATGGTTACTCAAGTAACCAAGAGATGGCTTCATAATTTAAATATTGTGGGTGGTCATGTGTCTATTTTTAAACAGCATGATGAAGACTTATTTTAATGAATATTATATAAATGAGTTTTAGGAGTGAATGAGGGGAAGTAAAGATGAGGGTTGAAGAATAGATTTAGAACGGGCATCCCAAGCAAAAGAAGCCACACACAGAAGAAAGCATGGAAATGATTGTGGTAGAAGGAGGCAAAGAGGGTCTGAAGAGTATGAAAGAGTAAAATGTTTTACTGTAATCAGAAATTATTCTGCTAAACACATGCTTTTCAGTTTCTGCCCTTCTGTGCAATAACATTTGAACAGTAAAATGGGAGTATTTTGGAACACACCGAAAATTAGGGAACATGATCAGAATAATCACATTCATCGAAGCTTTACCTCCACTTTCCTTTCAATTCTGTAAAAGTTATATATTAAGCATAGACAGGGGCGGCCCGTGACTATAGGCTGACTCGGCCGTCGCCTAGAGTGCCGCCTTCAATGGGGAGCCTGGGGTGCCTGATGATGACATCACAGGGCATCTGGGGTGCCCGATGATGATGCCACTCCATTGATGGCTATGCAGGAGGGGGTGCCAATCGCACATTTCACCTGGGGCGCCAGCTGCCGCAGCACACTTCGGGCTGCTCCAGAGCACAGACCTCTATTTTCATTTCTACATAGTGTATGTTAATAAAGGGCTCATTTAAATGAAAGTTCTTTTAATGGGATGAAAATCTAATGAATAAACATGTTCAAATCCTGATCAGTTTTCGTGCAGGCAAATCTCCCATTTTACAGTTAAAGCACGAAATTCATCAGGAGAGTTTCTTCTGTAAGTAATATGTGATTAATTCCATCATAAAGGCTGGGAGTTTTATCTGAGCAAGGACTACAGAATTTGGCCTCTAATGAAATTCTATTGTAAGAAATGTGTATAAGAAAGAACAAGCCTCAAGCATGTAACTATATTTAATATTCATCAGGAATTTTTATACATCCACAGCAATAGCAAGAAGGAAAGTAAGTTTAAGGACTATTTTGTGTGTTACCTGGAAAAATATCACCTTGCCATCAAGCCTCCAAAAGTTAGTGACTGGATAGCCACTGTGTCCCCGACAAGGAATTAACTCTAGGGCTGAGTTACAGTTTGGACAGGCTTTCTCTGCAAAATCAGATATGGTGAGTGTTGGAAAGCATGGTTAAATAGGAGAAATGAGATGAGCATACCTTTGGTCTCAACCACTCTATCATTGATCCTTCAATTGAACTCCAAATCAGATTGTAATACTCAAACAATATAAGCTATACTAAGAAGCATATGGAACTATATACTATACATGGACTAGAGATGAATACTTGATATAGACACTTTAAGCTTCAGGGATGTGAGTCCATTATGTAGGCCCATTTCTGCTGGCTTATCTAATAAATGCACACATTTTTGAAATTTGGAACTACTGCTTTACACCCTCTTTTCCACTAATAATAAGAGCAGCACAAGTCAGCTGTGTGTGAGTGGGCGTTAGGTTGCTTTGGGTTTGAAATCAGGACCGATTGAAAAGAATGGTTCAGCCCTCGGACTCCTCTCACTTTGTTGCTTCTGGCGGGCCTTGTCACAGATAGCAGGTCGGAGCTGTAGCCTGGTACCATCCGGTAGTGTGCAGTTCCTGGCACAAACCACCACTCCAAGACAGGACTTCTTAAGGATCTGGCAGTTGTGGTTGTTGGTGTTGCGCATGGCCCATCCACTGAGGTGACGCTGTGCATTCTTCTCCTCGGCAGAGTAGATAAATCGCACATAGCCATCTGGCCACTCCTGAAAGCCATCAAATTGCTTGGGCTCCTGCACCACATTTGGGTTAGGGGAGAGGAGCAACAATAGAAAGGAAAGGGGAAGTGGAGACCGGCGAGAAAGAACAAGAACATGTTAATAAGAGTATCACAGCACAGTAAAAACTATTCTTTTTTATGCTGTTCCATTGTACATAATAAGAAGTTACCTGAGGCAGTTAAAGAGCAGTAAACTTAGAACATCAAAAGGAGATAATCCTGTCCTTAAAGCACAGATCTATTACTATTTTTACAGAGTTTTACTGTCAGGTTCTATTTCTATTGCCTCTCAATAACTCCAAATCAAGGTGAGGTGCCCTTATCGACTAATTGAATAGTTGATGCAATTTGCAATTCGTCAATTAATCTAAATTTACCATCCCTAGAATATAATCAATACTATTTTAACAGAAGTGTAATTTTTGAAATTGGGATATTAAGATTTGCTTTCAAAGAGTTGCTCACCAAAATATAATTATTAAAAAATGATTTAAAAATTATAAAATAATTATTTGACAAGGTCCCTCACCAAAGGCTCTTGTGTAAATTACATGGCCATGGGATAAGAGGGAAGGTCCTTTGTTGGATTGAGAACTGGTTAAAAGACAGGAAACAAAGGGTAGGAATAAATGGTAAATTTTCAGAATGGAGAGGGGTAACTAGTGGTGTACCCCAAGGGTCAGTCCTGGGACAAATCCTTTTCAACTTATTCATAAATGATCTGGAGAAAGGGGTAAGCAGTGAGGTAGTAAAGTTTGCAGATGATACCAAACAGTTTAGGATAGTCAAGACAGAAGCAGACTGTGAGGGACTCCAAGAAGATCTCACCAAACTGAGTGATTGGGCAACAAAATGGAAAAAGAAATTTAATGTGGATAAGTGTAAAGTAATGCACACCGGGAAAAATAACCCCAACTATACGTACAGCATGATGGGGGCT